GCTTCGACGTAACAAGTCTTTATGCTGAAATACCAATCAATATGGCACTAGAAGCAGTCAGAAGTCAACTAAATATTGACTCAGAACTGAATCAGAGAACTAAGATATTGGTTGGTGAGATCATATTAAGCGTACAGCTGTACCTGACCTGCACAGTCTTCAAATTTCAGGACATAATATACAGACAAACAGAAGAAGTAGCAATGGGATCACCAATATCCCCAATCGTAGCAGATATATTGATCGATAGTTTGGAAAACATGGCTTTACAAACGTTTAGTCCTGCACCAAAAACCATATGGTGGCGATATGTGGATGACACATTCACTGTGTTGAAATCGGAACATATCGACAATTTTCTCACACATACAAACTCAGTAATAGGCGCAATCCAATTCACGTATGAGGTAGAAAATGAACAAGAAGAGTTACCTTTGTTTGATTGCAAGATAAAACGAAGGACAGACGCGGTTTGGATACTACCATCTACAGAAAACCGACAAATTCCAACAGGTATCTAGACTTCAATTCATCCCATCCAATGTCAGTTAAGGCAGGCTTAGTCAAATGTCTAAGTGATAGAGCTAGAAAACTGACTAGGCAGTGCAAGGACCTAAACAAGGAATTGAAACACGTAAAAGAAGCACTAATAGTTAATAATTATCCCCCACAGTTCATTAAAAAATTCGTACGAACACACAAGAAATGAAAAAATAACAGTAACACTAGTACGAATAATAACGACAACACAAGTAGAAAGGAGTTCACAGCCTCCATTATGTTACCCTACAAGGAAGGCACATCAGAAACTTTACGTAGGATCCTCAACAAAGCTGGTATTAGAGTGGCACTTAAACCTACAAACTCAGGGATAAGCTTTGTCGGCTGGCTCAAGGATCCGATAGAACCAATGAAGCAAAATAACCTAATCTATCAAATTCCATGCAATGACTGTGAGGTAAAGTACATAAGTCAAACTAGCCGGTCGGAGTCAGTTAGAATAGCCGAACATAGGAATTTAGCTAAATGTAGAATGACAGATTAGAATAAGATCAATAATCTGGAAAAAACTCGGCTATTGCATTGCATGCATAACATACAACCAAACAATAGGGTGGGATGAAGCCACTGTACTTAAGTCCGATATAAATGGGTGGAGAGAGGGATTGATTACTGAATCTTTTTCCATTGAATCAACACCCAATATGGAATAGGGATGACGCAACACCCACACCAGAGATATGGAAAGTTTTACTACCAATAAAAGCAAATCGCATGAGGTGACAGGACTATAAAAATCAAATGTTGGAACATGTGTGATTACACTGATATGATTATGAGCAATAATTTATGCTCGAAACGTCATCAAGTAAATAATACTATATCACTGTGTGTTATAAATTAAATAAACAAAGTTAATATTGAATACACTTCTATGGTCAGGTGAGGTCAATTTAATAACCACACTTCGGTCCCGTATACATGTCTCAGAAACGCAGCATACATCTATGGCTCGAGATTGCAGAGTTCTGGCAAGCGACCTCTGCTGTCCGATTCCTCGTAGGGTTTAGCAACTGAAAGCTGTAATATAAAATCGACGGTGGAGTTTTAGGATACTAGGAATGGTATTTCATTAGTTTGGATCAGTGGTGATGGTCAAGAGTGAGACGTTGAGTAAGTTGTAAGAGGTTTAGGATCGGTATCAGGCAGTAAAGCAAGGGGGGAAAGAAAGGTAAGGAGGGCAGATTATAGCCAGTTGCGTTTTGTACACTACTGGAAGAGTAAGAGCGGTTAACACCTCCCGGTTGCCTACACCATGGAAGGCTGGTTCTTCTTTAGGTGTCTAAAAAAGAAGGGTTGGTGACAGTGGTGTTTGACCACAAACTACATGGAACACCTACCTGTGGCCTGTCACACACGGCCTTTTAGAAGTTTGAGGTTTTGTTTTGTTTTCCTCGAATCTAACTATGAACCCATATGGCTGGCCCCGGTATGCCGCAGGATAGATGGGGGTGTGCTACTTTTAGGACCGATCTTTCCTAACTTCTCCTTCCAATTTGGAAAGCATCATCAGCGTGGAACTCCCGGTCATTCATTGAAAACACCTCACTATTGTAACACGCTCATCCAATCAGTAGTAAGACTTCACCCTCAGACCCCTACCATAGTGCAGCAACTTATACGACACCAGTGATTGCTTTTTGTCTAATCACCATCCAACAGATCTTCCTGGTATCGTAGGACCTCGAGGAAACAAGTGTGCCAGCTGGTGTAGCTCGTTTGGTCGTTATGATATGCAAGCCCGACCACTATATCAAGGTAGCAGCTTTCGCTCAGGGCCTGCTAATGGTACCCCAAAGGAACGCTAAACCACTCACTATTCTAAATATTAGTTCAAATCACGAAGATGGCTAAACATCTTATCACTAATATTTTTCTAATTAAATGACTGATAATAGATGATCAGTAAACTACAAAAAAGTAGCCACCCACTCACACCATTCTCAATTCTTTATTAAATGATCAGCAGTAGAGGACTTTTATATTAGTTCAAACAGCAATGGGAAATATATTCCATCCACTGGAGAGATTTAAAGCAACATGTTAGCGATTATTAGGAAATCGGTATGCAAAAGCTTTGTACTAGCTACCACATAAGTACACTTTACTGAGAATTTTGCTGTGCATTAGTACAGTAATTATCTTCTTGGTACTGTAAGATACTGAAACTAAACAACTATCAACGGACAACATAATATATAAGTTATCTTCATATTTTTGAACGAATGAATAGTGCTAAACGTTTCCAGGATGCAGTTACGCGAAATTGATCTTCATATCGTCACTGCTACAGGATTGGATGATCGATTCGTAAGAATCGCATATATATACTCTGTTGATGAGCTCAAATCTGAACGATCGGAACAACAGTCCAATTTTTAGATCATCCTGATATGGCTACTGAAATCTTTAGATAAACCAGAATGATTTCTAACTAATTAAGTCATTCAGCAGTATGTTGTCACAAGATATGGTATCAAAATTCAACAATAAACCTTGCCCGAAAGGAATTCTCAATACCACTAGTTAGTGTGGACAGATTTAAAAGAATTTTCCACAAACATTTTCACAAAACGAAGTAGGTATTGACATCCTAAAGTTATTTCTCGAGAGTAGTAAAGTTAAAAGTGAAGAGACAACTGTCTTCAGTCCTCTTTTGAGTTTGTCATAGTGATTGTGTGCATGATACAAGCAATAGACCTCGTCGTTTCCGTTTACTTTTATAATACGTGACTAAAAAACGTCACCTTTTTATAGTGACTTTGTCACGATCGACATTACACAAAGTTGCTGGTTAGAGTATTTTCTAAGTATAGGCAACAAATTCGTTAGATATAAACCTAGGAGAGAAAAAAGTAACTCCAAACTAAGTGGAAGTTCCAGAATATTTTCAAAGAAGTATCGTAGCGAAGAGGATGTGATTTTTAAAACTTGACCATTTATTCAAGCAAATGTATCTGACTGGGATATGTTCCAGCATATTTCGCGTAACCTCTGTTACGCAAACATTCTTTCTTCAAAAATGTAATGTTAAGAAAGGAATCAAACAGAGTGTAATATTCCTGTTCCCCAAGATAGTCTACCAGGTAGAGTGAGTTTTTGTGTAACATAGACATAGTACAAAAACTGAAAACTGAGAAAACAACATCTGACGTAAAAAAAATTAACGGTATGCTAAAACTATCAATGTCATGACAAGTGGAAGGGTTTCTGAATCTGTGAGTCAATGGATGATGATCAGGAACGTAAACCAATGATCAACAGCCACACAATTAATTTTCATCTCACCTTCGATACAAATCTCCCAAGTTAAGGCTATCTCAAATAATAAGACTGATAAACAATATGAAGATTCTTGTGTCTAATTCAAGTAGGTTAAGGCTGGAACTGGGATGAGAAGTCCTGGCTAGGCAACCAATGTGAATATAGTCAAGTGATAGCAACGTATCACGAAATTAAGATCTGGTCAACAAGTAGGTTTCGTAGTTCAGTTAGTAGAGGACCGGGCCGGTAAACTGGAGGTGGCTAGTTAGAATTATGACACCGCCTAGACTTTCATTTAATCTTCAATCAGCACCTGGTGTCAAATGAGTTAAAAAAATACGAATGATGCTAAAAAGAAAGTTAAACTTCATTACAGGTCACCTAAAGGTGTTTTTTAGTAACCACTGGATTTCAGCTAACTTGCTTCACGGTAATTCACTCCCCGGTGAAATAAAGGATGTAAGGTAGTAACATATTATTATGTACATTAGCGAAATTGTTCTGAAGTGAAGAAATCAGCCATCTAATGCCTTCTAATTTCCACAGTACTCATTTAGTAACTAGACTAAAACATGTTATCAGTCCATTAAGTTCCATTCGCAAATTTCCCTTTATCAACTTGAAAAGAAGAAGAACAAAAGGTGAAGTAGTATAACAATGAACAAGAATAAATTCGTGCCGTTCCACAATGCCGATCTCAGGTGTGTAAACAAGATGTGAACTTTCAAGTTGAGGTCTTTACGACAGTCGCAACCGATGGTTCAAGACTCCAGGTGACAATGAATCAAAATTTATCTCAATGGTGCAGATGCTGTCACACCTTATCTTTATCTGCCATTAATTCTCTCTTTTACGGATTTCTACAATCCTTGTTATATAATTTGCACCTCTCTGGCTTCCATCTTATTACTTTTTACCGCGATGTGTTAAAGTGTGTCCATTTGGACAGGTAAGCAATAACGCCAACCTCCATTTTAATACTGAATTAGTAATGAAAATTACCTTCAAATCAGCAAAATATTTACGAAACAAATTTTTGACATATTATTTGATTACAGAATAAACATAACTTATACCGCTCTACTAATAAGCTATTTTAAGAGGATAATAAATAAAAGTAAAACAAATAATTTTAAGGAAAAAAAATTTATCACTTCAGATAATTTTAAACATACTTGATAGGTGTTCGATGTAGAATTCACATCACGATTAAATTGGCAAGTTAAATAGTCTAACCCAAGTTTATCCATTATATCAAGCGAATGCTTCTAATGAATTGATTTGTTTCAAACAAGTTAAATTTCTTTGCTCATTGATGTAAACAGATGAACTTGAAGAAATAAACATTTGATAAATATTGATTATTATTTGACTATCTGAAATAGCCGTAGTTTGGCAGACAATTATTTATGCTGGGTGACTGTTGAAGGTGAAATGAAAGTTTTGACCGCAGCCGGATTAGAACCAACGACCAATGGGTTTCCGACCCGATGCTAGGACCTCGTAGCTCAGTTGGTAGAGTATTGGGTCGGAAACCCGGTAGTCGCTGGTCCGAATCCCGCCGAGGTCCACTTTTTCATTTCACCTTCAATCATCACCCAGTATAAATTCGATAAATAATAGTAGATAAAGTACTGACTAGTTATCAATGTGTAACCATTATCATACAACCTAGTTTTCCGTCTCGACTGAATCCCTACAAGCATGTCTGAAATATGACTACTTAGCTAAGCGGAGCACTCTTTGTTAGCTGTCATCAACTCACAGACATTACCATGAACATCAATGGATACTTCGACAAGTCAAAAAACATTTACCAATTTATATAAACACGAAACTAATGAAGGAGGTGTTGTCCATTCTTGCGGAATCCGATAGCCTTCTCAAAGAACAAGTACATACTGGTGCATCAATTATTATTCCGATTCAATGGCTTAGTTTTATCGGTTCTCAACCACCCAGTGCACGCAAGCAATGCTATGAAGATACTTCTGATCAAAAACCAGCAACCATTTCATTCCTTATAACAGCCATATTTCACAGACGAACAACAGGAGAGAACAGAAAACAGAGAAGTATAGATAAATAGTCAGATTTCTGGCCAGTCGGAGCCATAGATGATGCTAACTGGGAAATACCAAACAGGCCTTCTGTATCCCAGCTGAGATTTGGTCAGTAACCACCCTGTTCGCGCTGGTGCAATTCCCCAAGTTAGTGAAGTGGTCGACAGATTCCACCACTTCACACCCTATCATTAAACTGAGATTATTTGCAGACCAGTCCTGAAGCATCGTCTTACATTTGACATATGCGAAACGAAAGCCAAACACACTCAGATTGCTGCTCAATGTGTCAGTGTCTTCACATAGCATAACAATATCGTCTGTACACTCCAAGCCAACCAGATGACCTTCAGGGATTAGATCAATCCCTATGAAGTCAGATGTAACTAAAGTTACGTCTATTAGTACGTCTATAATGGAGTGAAATAAAAACGGTGACATTGGACATCACTGATGGATAATACTACTTGTCATCAAAGCTGATGAGAACTCTCCATAAGCCCTTACACGGCTGCTTGAGTTTAAGTAGGGAGCTTTGATGAGCATTATATACTTGCTCGGTACCTCTTTCACAGTCAGATACTGCCACATCACCTCTCGATTGGCGAAGATAAATCCCACCTTCAGATCAGAAAAAGTGGCAAGTGTCGACCACTGGTCAGTGAGTATCTCTGAGTTCCAGAACCTGCCCGAGGGTGAAAATATGATCGATGCACCCTCGTTCAGGTCTGAAATTTGTCTGAATTTCTCGAGTTTGTTGTTCTTGAGCTCTAGTAAGGCGCGGGATAACCCTTTGATCTTGGACTCAACAAGCACGGAACCTACTTGTCTCATGCATACACCTAACAGGTGAAGAAAAACACGTTAAAAATGATGGTTTAAAATTTGGTAACCAGAAATTTAGACTGAAGAAGAAGAAACGCACTGAGTCAGTGTGGACATACGTGGAGTAGGCAACCAACTACACTTATTGTGTGAGGGTTGGTGATACTGCTTGGCTACCCAAACCTCGATAAGTGGAGCGGGCCTGGAACTCGTGACCTAATGGCTGAAAGCCATGAACCTAAATCACTGCGTCACAGAAGTCTAGACTAGTACCTTACAACTCCAAAATAAATAAAAAACAATCAATATATCAGCAGGTGTAGTGAGTAGAACATAATCCTTCAGCCATCATTCACATTAAATGAAAGAAATACACCCAGTGATTGAAGTAGGATTGAAATGTGGTCAGTTATATGGTTTCACGGATAGGCTAGAAAAGTACCTAGTCATTAATCGAGTTCCAATCTAATCACAGTCTCATCCCACTTGTGATATAAAACCATCTATTCAAGCTTTGTACTCTCTAATCAATACTACAGCCTTATCAACAGTCTGTGTTCACACAGAATATTAGTAACGATAACACCACGGATTCTTTAATGCAAACGGCTCTTCACTTTCAAGCAAAAAAATTCAAAATTTAGTGAATAATATTTCAAAAACTTATTCGTTTACACAGAATTCTCAATGAAAATGGGATCAGAGTCGTGTTAAACCTATAAACTCACTTAGAAGTAAGCTTTGTAGGTTGAGATCCTATTGATCCAATTCAGAAAAATAACTTAGTTTACCAAATCCTTTTCAATGGTTATGATATCAAATGTATATGTTGAAGCAGTCGATTGTAGTCAATTAGAATAAAATAGAACAAAAACTCAGCTAAATAAGGACTAGTAGATCCTAACATGATAAGAAATCTATAGAAAAGCTCAGCTACAGCACTGCATACGATTGCGCACAATCACACAACAGGGTAGGATATAGCAGCTGCATTACAAACTAACTTAGTTGGGTAGGAGGAGAGATTGATAACCGAATCATTGGTTATCGAAACAAAACAAAATAAATGCAAAAGGAATGGTTCTGCACATATCCCAGACATGGAAAATTTTACTAACTTTGACACAAAGAAGAAGAGGGGAGTAAGAACTACCTATGCAAAGCCTCACAGATGTGCAGTTACCTGATATGAATAAGGACAATAAATTATGTCCGAAAAGTTTCATTGTGACCTAACAAATAAACTAAAATGAAAGTTGTTTGTAATTATGACATTTTGGTCTTACGTGCTCATCATATCTATACTAGCCAGACTTATGTGAGTGTTTTGCAAACAAAATAATAAATTAAAACATGAAAAAATATCATTATCCGATGGGGCTTGAACTCACTGCTGACGTTATAGGCTTTTTGCGCTTTTTTATGACTAGATGTGTTACGTCACAGAACATAATCTAACGGATTGTAACTATGTGTTGAACTTGATATAATGAATCTTTTTAACAGAGATATATGTAAGTAGAAAAAGAAGCTACTAATAATTCTATTCCATCCTTACACTTAATGCTTTTCTAGTACCATTTAGTAGATAATGGATATTAAATTCTGAATCATGTTAAACTGAAATAGAATGTATGCTGCAATATTTGTTCACACTGTTTTATTCGGATTTGTCAGAGGTAAACAAGTGGATGAAGTATTTCTAGTATCTTGATGGTAAAGGAATAGGTTTGATATACTTATTCATTTATTCGCTGAATGATTTCTTTTGCTTAATGTTCCCGATTTCACATAAAATACCCCAAAGTGAATTTATTTGCAATGTTTAAACAAACTTTGAGATATGGAAAAGCCGTATGGAATATCAGTCTCAGCTAATAAAGCTTGAATGGATTACTCATATATGTAAGTTTCACTACGACGTAAAGGTAGCCATGCTAAACTATCATAAACTGATACTGTTGGTACCGATGACAAATTCAGCAATGGCATATAATTCATAATTTTCAGTGTTAATTGTTATCGATCGACTAGTATATATTATTTAGAACTCTTTACCAATCATTTTATCGCACGGCAGACATTAGCCTAGACATCTATTGCATGAAATGTAAACACTTAACAATTACAGCTCTTAGTGGTGAAGTGACATTAGTTGAGGGGAAACAAGTACACAGTGTGAAAAACTGATAACCACTAACAATCCAACCATCACAAACTTCTTCACCACTGTAGAAAGATGAACTCAAGACACAAATCAGGTTGTAGAAGCGAAGAGATATACCTGGTGAAAAGTGAGTTCTACCTATACCTTTCTAAGCGATGTGAAAACTATGATGGACATCTACTTTCACTCTTTTATTCTTATGATAGATAGTGGACAGATTTCCTTTAAGGACGCACATGCATACCACATCTATAAGAAAATAGTAGGGGATAGATCTACTTTTGACTAAGGCAAACTATGTCGAGATCATTTTACTCTGAACGTTGATTCAGCTTTATAATAGTGCTACTGATTTTACTAAGAACATCAAGTTTAAGAACGAATTTAACTCAATTAGCGAAAATTATTAGATAAATACACCAATAAAGATAGTTTATGCACCGAATCTAATATTTAATTAACACAGTAATTGTGAGGCTGGTCTAACTACCTCTTCGTATACAGGAGTCAAGTAACAACCATTCAGTAACAGTGGATTCTGAATTCACCCCCCCCCCTAAGCCTTTATTCATTGGCTCCCACGGGGAGACGCAAACCTGTAAATACAGTTGAGGTTGACATAACGCAGCTAGTTATCAAAACTTGATGACCAGATACTTGATAACCAGATAGTATAGTAAACCAAAACCAACCTTAAGAAAAGCATACTTTAATGTGTTATGATTCAGGTGCGAGTGTACGGCACCCTGAGATAGACTCAGACAGATACACAAGAACAACGTTAAAACCCCGTGTGTGTAATTCTCAACTCCATCACTAGTAAATAAGAAGTAAGATAAAGCGTTGATTGGTGCTTCGAAATAATGATCATGGCGAAACCCTATGTGTATATACAAGAGACTCTTGGGTGAACTAGTTTAGGCAGCCACATTTGGAATTTCGCTGACATTTAAATTTCCAAGACTGGTACGATTCAAAATATCTGGCTTCTCGACATTTTTGGGTCAAGTTTCTAAGAAATAGTGAAATTTCTCAATAAAATATCACTTTAATGTTTTTTCGATTTTTTTAATCCCTACCTCCTTAAATGCAATTTATACACATGCAAGTATTCAATATGAGCATAAATTCTTAGGACATGTTTTTGAATTTCGCTATCAAAAGAGGCAGCACAATATATCATGCGACTATCCAA